AAATCTGGAAACAGCTGCTGTTTTCAACACATCGACCATCTCTTCCTTGGACACCATCATCACATAACCGGGACACCATCACAAAATGACCAGAACACCATCAAAACATGACCGAGACACCGTCACAACACGATTGGGACACCATCACAACATAACCGGGACACCATCACAAGGTGACAGGAACACCATCAAAACATGACCGGGACACCGTCACAACATGAGCGAGACACCATCACAACATGACTGGGACACCGTCACAACATGACTGGGACACAATCACAACATGACCGGGACACCATCACAAGGTGACCGGGACACCAACATGACATGACGGGAAAACCATCACAAGATGACCAGGACACCATCACAACATGACTGGGACACCGTCACATGACCCGGACACCATCAAAACATAACCGGCACACCGCCAAAACATGACCAGGACACCATCACGACACCATCAAAACATGACCGGGACACCATCACAACATGACCGGGACACCATCAAAACATGCCCGGGACACCATCACAACATGACCGGGACACCATCACAACATGACCGGGACACCTTCAAAACATGACCGGGACACCATCACAATATGACCGGGACACCATCAAAACATGACCGGGACACCATCAAAACAGGACCGGGACACCATCACAACATGACTGGGTCACAATCAAAACATGATCGGGACACCATCAAAACATGACCGGGACACCAGCATCACATGACCCGGACGCCATCAAAACATGACCGGGACACCATCCGCCCACCAGCTCTGACGGTGACCCGACGGCGCCCGTCCGCCTATTAGTTTTGCAAGACCCCATAGCATGGCTATTGGGGAACTAGACGACGAGTGGCCCGAAAGCATTTTTCATCACGTAGGAAGTCAGAGTGCGAGTTATCTGTTAAGTGTGCGGTGTGAAGTGTTAAGTCGAGTGAGTTGAGGTAGTGTGTGGGTTTCTCTGTGTGTATCTATGTCCGTGTGTATATGAGTCTGCGTGTGTGTGTTGTGTCCGAGTAAGTTGAGGCAGTGCGTGGGTCTATGTGTGTGATGTGTGTGTGTGTGAGTCCCTGTCTGTGTGTGTATGTCCATGTCTGCTGCTGGTGAAGGTCTTCTCTGTACATATAGTGAACGACTTAGCGCGCAGGCCTCCCAAACCCCCCACCGGCGGCCAAGCGGTGACAGCCCAGCTCATCGTCGTGAGCATTTAGGCTGCTGGTAAGGAGAGAAGCAGCGTGCACGCCTCCAGGAAATCTCACTGAAAAAAGCGAGCTGGAAGGAAGCATACTCAAGTTGTACTACAAAGTCGCCAGTTCTCATCTTCCAGCAACACAGATTGCTCCGCGTACTAAAATTGCACTACCAGATCGCCAGTTCTCATCTTCCAACTCCCCAGACACTCCGCGTACTCAACTTGTACTACCCAGTCGCCAGTTCTCATCTTCCAGCTCCCCGGCTACTCCACGTACTAAAGTTGTACTACCCAGTCATTGTACTACCAAGTCACCAGTTCTCATCTGGCCACTCCCCAGATACTCCGCGTACTAAAGTTGTACTACCAAGTCGCCAGTTCTCATCTTCCAGCTCCCCAGCTGCTCCGCGTACTACAGTTGTACTACACAGTCGCCAGTGCCCATCTTCCAGCTCCACAGATACTCCGCGTACTCAAGTTGTACTACCCACTCACCAGTTCTCATCTTCCCACTCCCCAGCTACTCCGCGTACTAACGTTGCACTACCAAGTCACCAGTTCTCATCTTCCGGCTCCCCAGCTACGGCGTACTAAAGTTATACTACAACGTCGCCAGTTCTCAGCTTCCAGCTCCACAGCTACTCCGCGTACGACCATTGTACTGCACAGTCGCCAGTTCTCAGCTTCCAGCTCCACAGATTGCTCCGCGTACTAAAGTTGTACTACAAAGTCGCCAGTTCTCAGCTTCCAGCTCCCCAGCTACTCCGCGTACTACAGTTGTACTACCAAGTCGCCAGTGCTCATCTTCCAGCTCCCCAGCTACTCCGCGTACTACAGTTGTACTACAACGTCGCCAGTGCTCATCTTCCCACTCCCCAGCTACTCCGCGTACTCAAGTTGTACTACCCACTCGCCAGTTCTCATCTTCCCACTCCCCAGCTACTCCGCGTACTCAAGTTGTCCTACCAAGTCGCCAGTTCTCAGCTTCCAGCTCCCCAGCTACTCCGCGTACTGAAGTTGCGCCACGAAGTCGCCAGTTCTCAGCTTCCAGCTCCACAGCTTGCTCCGCTGCTAGACCTATCGCACTCTGGCCTGCGTTTCGCGCACTCCACACGCACGATCTCCGCAGAGGGTTGCGCGGTAATTTCACAAATCGCGCTCTCGCCTGCATTTCGCGTACTCGACACGCACGATCTCCGCAGAGGGTCGCGCGGTAATTTCACACATCGCGCTCTCGCCTGCATTTCGCGCACTCGACACGCACGATCTCCGCAGAGG